GAATAGTGTTATTTTACTCTTCATTAAGTTATTTTAAATAACTACTTCATTTAAAAATACATCAAAAAGCAAAAGTAAGAGTTCATGATCGTTTGTAAGTCATTTTGTGATCTGTATACATGCTTGAAAATGTGCAAAGCTATTTTAAGACTGGAATTTAAACTTAATGAAATGTATATGAACACATTCATAAATCATATGCAATCAAGTTAAAATAAAGAGAATTAAGAAATATAAGGACCACATTGCGCCTTTGATAAACGATATTTGCTGATGAACCATTCATTGAGTCTTATGTTAAGGGTTGATATCCACTATTATCAAGTTACATATATATAAAAACATACATCCTGTTCAATAATTTAAACGAACGAGAATTTATTTAAGAAACAGAAAGTACTTCATCATGAAATGCAAGAGCAGTAAGTGCTTTAGTATGGCCTACATATTCTCGTTCTACGCTTCCCGTTGATACGTTCCATAACCTGGCAACACCATCGGACGAAGCTGAATTAAACAAAAGTTCTTGTTTAAGTACTTAAATATATACGATAAATAAATATCAAAATTATAAGAAAACCTATTCTTACCTGTAAATATATACTGTGAGTCCGCACTGAACGCTGCATCCCAGACCCACCGTTTCGCTTCATGCTGAAGCACTTGTGCCTCCGAAAAATCTGTTGTTTTCCAAACTCGAGCAGTCTGATCAGCTGATGTGGTCACTAAAAGCCTGCGTTATGAATTACAAATAATTTGTTCGATTTTATTAAATATTACGAAATCGTCTGTAGTACAAAAGTTGTATGAGAAAAATATAATACATTAACTTACGTAGAGTCAGGACTAAATTTGCATCGCAGAGCGTAACGTTTGTGCGCCAAAAGTTTATGACGAGGATTAAGGCGCGTCGGTTCTTCACCGACGCCACCCGTTAACGTCCAAATATAACAGTGACCTTTATTATTTACTGCTGCCATGTACGTACCGTCTTGATCGATTGTAACATCTTGCACAGATGCTTCTGCCTCTGGAATCTTCGAAGGCAAATTATTTTTATCGATTTCAGTCAATACGACAAATCAATTCATATAAATAGCTCATTCCCAGTTTTTATTTTTTTTATTTGTACCAGCTGTTCATTGTGGTCAGACCGTAGATCCCACAAATGAATGACACCACTTTGATCGCCAACAATAAGTTCCGCTTGATTAGGATGTAAACACACACAATTTACAGGAGCCGATACTTGAAATATTCTTTGGCATTGAAAGCTACTTGACCTGTTATTATTAATATTATCATTGTTGTTATTATTTTTATTATTATTATTGTTGTTGTTGTTGTTGCTTAACATAATTTAAAATTCTATATATTCACCTGAGGTCCCAAATACGTGCAGAACAATCCTCACCCCCAGTGTACATCCACTTACCTTCTTCCTAAGCGGAATAAAATATACTAATAATTGTTTTACAATATTACGTTGAAACAAATGGACACTATTAAATGACAATGTCTAACCTGAAAACCCAAGCCTGTAATGTTTTTTGTTATTCCTTCATAATTAATAACTGGGTTTGGATTATTAGAGAGTAAGTCATACATTCTTATATGTTGATATCCTGCAGCAGCAACTCCATATTTGTCTGGAGTAATATCCAAAGCATTAACTTGCTATAAGTAAAGCGCAAAGTAACAGTTACTAGAAAAAGACCAAATTTAAAATTTAAAAAACATTTTCAATTGAACATTTTGAAAAAATACCGAATCTGTATGTTCTGCGGTACGCTGGCAAACTCCTGTGTGGGGTTGCCATATTTTGATAGTGTGATCATAACCACCTGTTACAAGAATTACTTGTTCGTTAGTATAGGTGCTGTCTGCTGTCATCTATGAATGATAAAAATAATTGAAACGCAATTTTTTATATTTTTTTATCATGATTCTCAAATGACAAATAATTGTGTACCTTTTTGTTTTTATCGCCTCAGATATACGTTCATTCACGTTAGCGTACTTTTAGATACATTTTCAGTGTAATTCTGTATAACAGGTTATGTTAGAAAAGAAATCTATCATTCTACATAGTTCTTATTGAAATGAATTCCCTAAGAATCGCAGGTACATTACATGAAATTTCATTTCAATTTCTTTCACAAATAATTGCTTTACATCACTTGTATCGTTGACAACTAAGAACTAATCACAAGCCAAGTTGTTTCTGTCACGCTACAAGCACTAACACCATCTGTATTAAACAACTTTCAGGTTTTTTCTATAAAAAAATATTTAAACTTAACATGGATCTATGTCACTATGAAATTAAGTAATTTTATCATTTGAAAATTTTAATAAAATATTGTAATATATAAAGTCCTTTCTGAAACATCGTTTCTGAAAAGTAATAGGCTAGAAGTTACTTGCTGAATGCATACATGACACACACACACACACCACAGAAGGATTTAATGGATATCAAACTGATCTTAAGAAAACAAATTTTTCATATAGAAGTAACACTAGGCATTGTTTATTTAAACTTAAATAAAGTTAAACAAATTTGAACCCTCAGCTGATAAACATTAACAGTGTTTTTTAATAAATTATAATTACAAATACTGTTTCTTCATGTTACTTCAGATTGGAAAAAAATTAATTTTCAATTTTGTTGTAATGACAACACATTCTTATATTATATATATTTTACAATAGTGTTTTTAAAATTACCAATTGATAAAACCAAAATGGAATATGTTATTTAATGTAAAATACATATTAGTAACTCGCATTATATTAATATAAAGAAAAATATCTCATTAAATTTTTATTGTTTTGTTTTACTTGTTTTCCCCTCAAAATGATTAAAAACAAAAAGAAACATTACTAATAAGTGTTTTAGAGTAATAGTAATTTGAAAATTTTACAAGGCACAATGAAAATAAAAATGAAAATAATACTTAATTAGTGTTACGTTTCGACCTAGTTTACAACTCCTTTTCTTCTGTCTTATGAATCAATTATCTACATGTTTTATTCGCAATTAACGCTTCAACGTGTTAACTAGAGATATGCTGCACCGATAACTATGCTATTGACGCTATCGCATGTGTGTCGCGCGAGACAAATGTACAAAATTAAGAGCTGAATGAATAATCGGTAATGCTTATAGAGAAATCTAAAAAAAATGAAATTATGGATAATATACTATGATTTTATGTATATACGAAACGCGCTTATGCGTATACACATTTACATAAAATTCACAATTATTCCGCACTTACAGCAAAACTTTGAATGAAGAATGAAATGTAATCTTTTTTTTTTAAAGAATTGATATTTACAAATGATTTACAAAATATGTTACAGTCTTTTCTTTGGTAAAGATCCAAAAGCCGATATTACCGTTGCTTTGGTGCCTGTCGCAGATGACGTTAAGGTAGTAAGCGTCGGTTGAGATAGTAAAACGGTAGGCTTTACCGAGGCTGTGGCTCCAGTTGCCACTTGATCCCATTTACTTTTTCTCTTCTTAGCATCGTCTTCGGTCGCGCTAGAACTATTTGGCCGCTTAGCTGTACCGGAGACAATCTCGATTTTTGTTTTCTCTTTCCTCGCTTTTTCAAGTTTGTCCATTTCAGTTTTTTGAACCTTGGCAAGCTCCTCGTAATAAGAATCTTTACCCCATTTAAATGGATCAAATCTATCTGGAGGATAGTTGGTGCCCAGTTCGTTGATGCTACAAAACTGAATAAGTTTTTCATAAATGGATGGATTCCTAAAGTCCTTTCTTTGTTGTATAACTTTATTCATGTCCAAACCGCCGCTCTCCATTTTCCTGAAAAGTTTAGTTATCTTCTCCTGTAATTCCACAGGACACTGTCCAGATGGTTCTGGCGGTATAGTCACTCCATACGGATCAACCTCGCTATCTGAAACTAATTCTCCTTGACAAGAGGGAGAGCGGTCCGTAATCGAGGAGGGCCTTCCATTCTCAGAAGGCTGTCCATCGATTGGTATTTGCAGCGCTCCCTCGTCATCGGAGACTATTGTGTCATCAAAGTATGAAACCAGTCTATGCACCTTAGATGTCACATCTGTCACTAAGGTGGGTGCGTTTGACAAATCGTTACTAGACTTGCCACCAACGCTGGGAGCAACGACAGGACTATTTGAGGCTGATCTGCCAGATTTGGGACTGGTGAAAGCCTGGGGCTGACCGACTTGGGCATTATTCGGGGCGGCCCCCTGGGGAGTGTTCGAATTCTCCTGAAGGTCGTCTTCCACCCCGTCTTCGCCCTCCGAGTCGGTATAGGTGGCCGTGAGAGATGCCAGAGCAACACTTTGTACAGACATGGTTAGTTGGCTTTGAGTGTCCGCCGTACTACCAAGCAATATTTTGTGTTGGAACTCACCGATCTAGCGTCGAGTTGTATGCCTTTTAGTTGTAGGGCTTTTATGTATACAAATTTGCCTTTATGTATAAATAATAACTATGCCCCAATGTTTGTTGGAATGTATATTACTATACCGTATCTGAAAAAGACCATAGTACAGATATGCGGTTCCTTAATTGTTTCTAATTTAATTCTTAATTCTAGTGCAAGTGTGAATTTAGAAAATGAATAATTATAGTTTTATATTTACGTTAATGCATGCAAAAAAGAAATGCTAAGAAATGAATATGAAAAACAGAACAAATAACAGAAATGTCACGCGCGAACACGCGTATTTTACAAGTTAAAAAATATCAACTACTATTAAATTTGGTTGTATATGACCTATCATAAGAATTAAGCGACCAAGAAATTTCTGTATTGTCAAACGTATTTCATCCTATCTCACATGCATTTTATTGACAAGTTTATTAGGTTATGGTAGTAATTATCACAATTATATACAATAACCATAACTAACCTGAGTATTGCAATCCGCCACGATACTGTCTGCTTACACTGTACCTGATTTCATTGCGATTAATTTAAAATACGTTACACGTCGAATAATTTCTATTCCATTAATTCACGACGATAAATGTAATCGATGTTACCGTGGCGTATTCAGAGTTCCTGCTTTTTTCTCTTGACGAATTTCATCATGCGCGTGCGCCTTACTTAATAGCAATAAAACACTGATTGTGTTCACCCATGTCACAAAGCACTTTACTCACATGTGTTTTATATATATTTTTAAATATATCTTGAAAATTGTTTGGATTTCTATTTGCCTTCTTTCTCTATTATATTATCTTTCTATTACTGAACTAAGTACCAATTCTATTCTTTGATAAAACTATCATTTGCAGAAATGATATGTAATGTTCGATCGTTGTAACGAAAGATCTCTGACAGGAATTAAAATTTGTATATGCACATTTAATGAATGGCGTTCATTTACAAAATAAATGATGTTTTAAATACTCTACCACTAACGTTAATGAAATCTTCAACATACACTACTGACCTGAAATATGAAATTAAAATTATCCAGTAATAAAAATTATTTTATAATTATTTAATCAAACTTATATATATATTAAAATGGAACATAAATAGTTTCTATAACTAATGAACCAGAAGTTTTATGAAATATGGACCTTTAGTTTTATACTTTTGATCAGCAATCTATAGACTTGCGAAACATTCGCAATTCGTATATTACATGCCATGCAGTGTTGCGCGTGCGTATATCGAATTTATCGTCTAAACGTCAGTAGAACAGTAGCGGTGAGTTGGAACAGGCTCTTTAATCTCTCATACGCTCTCTAAAGGATCGTGCAATCCACGTGTAATTTAGTTCAAAGCAGCAGAAGAATTTCTTGCATTGACATTATTAATCATGGTATTGGACTTAGATCTTTTTCGAAAAGACAAAGGTTTTGATCCAGATAAAATACGGGAAAATCAAAAGAATCGTTTTAAAGATGTAAATTTGGTGAACGTGGTAATTGAAAAAGACAAAATTTGGCGTCAGCTGCGACATAAAGCTGACAATTTCAATAAGTTGAAAAATGTATGCAGCAAAGAAATTGGAGAGAAAATGAAAAAGAAAGAAGCAATAGGCACTGATAGCACAGTTTCGGAGGATATTCTTGAAAATTTGGATAATTTAACATCCGATATCCTGAAGTCATTAACAATTACTCAGATTAAAACTATTCGTAGTTGCATTGATGATGCCATCACGAAGAATGATAGAGACTTAACTGTAACTGGATTGGAAAGAAATAATAGCCTTAAAGAAATAGGAAATATTTTGCATGAATCTGTACCAATTAGCAACGATGAAGATGAAAATAAGGTATATGTTTGACTATGTCAGATTTTGTATATATATCGTTATACAGTATGACATGTTTATTCATAGGTTGAGAGAACTTATGGGGATTGTACGCAAACCAAAAGGTATTCTCATGTTGATTTAATACATATGATCGATGGATTAGAAGGAGAACGTGGTACCAATGTTTCTGGCGGACGTGGCTACTTTCTAGTAGGACCTGCAGTTTTTTTACAACATGCATTAATACAATTTGCTCTTAAACAATTATTTGCAAAAGGTTATAAACCACTTTATACACCTTTTTTTATGCGTAAAGATGTTATGCAGGAAGTAGCACAGTTATCTCAATTTGATGAGGAACTATACAAGGTACAAGTAAAATTCTAATTACTTATGCATGTACATATGTCATCTCCATTTAATATTTCAATCACTAATCGATTTGATCAGGTAATTGGTAAAGGCAGTGAACGCAGTGATGATAAAGATATAGAAGAAAAATATTTAATTGCTACATCAGAACAACCAATAGCTGCATTTCATAGAAATGAATGGATTCCTGAAAACGTTTTACCAATTAAATATGCAGGATTATCTACATGTTTTAGACAAGAAGTTGGTTCTCATGGACGTGATACAAGAGGGATTTTTAGAGTTCATCAGTTTGAAAAAGTACCTATTGCTACAGTTGTAATAAGTTTAAGGAAAGCAACATACAATTTCATATTTACTTACACGTTTGTAACAGGTGGAACAATTTTGTTTGACATCCCCATATGAAAACAAATCTTGGCTAATGATGGAAGAAATGATATCAAATGCAGAACAATATTATCAGGCTTTAGAGATTCCATACCGTATAGTTAACATAGTATCGGGTGCACTGAATAATGCTGCTTCAAAAAAATTAGATTTAGAAGCATGGTTCCCTGGATCTGGTGCTTTTCGTGAACTTGTATCATGCAGTAACTGTTTAGATTATCAAGCTAGGCGTTTATTGGTCAGGTAAAAAAGTTTATCGCAATAATTAAAATTCTTTTAAACTCTACTACATTGATATCACTATATAATTATGAATTTTGTGCAAATAAAATAGATAAGACAACAATGTTTCAGGTATGGCCAAACAAAAAAGATGAATACTAGCATGGATTATGTACATATGCTAAATGCAACAATGTGCGCAGTTACTCGCGTTATATGCGCTATTTTAGAAGTACATCAAACCGATACTGGTATTAAAGTCCCAAAAGTTCTCGCACAGTTCATGCCAACTGAATACGAGAATGAAATTCCATTTGTTAAAGCAGCTCCTATTGACGAAGCGGAAGTGAAGAAAACAAAAAAATCTAAGGAACCAAAGGACATTATTCTATCTTAAGTATATCGTTTTGGTAAACGATCACTTTGGAATAATGTAAAAAAATCTTAATGAATTCAATTGTGATTAATTCTAATATTTGGGATACATTTTGTTCACAAACATATAAGCGAATATATGTTATAGTTCGAACGCTTTTAGCATATATACCCGTAAATTATTGAGATTTATATACTTCATTATTACAAAACACAAATAACAAACATAATGCACTTAAGTACATACATAAATATATGTTTATTATACAATAAATAAATCTAGAAAAAGTTGTATCATTATCTGTACATTTATTAAGTGCCTTTTTTTGAACTCGACATATTTGAATGTCTTTTTTCTTCTTCAGCTCTTCTAAGATTATTCAATACAACGCGTTCAAATTCTGCGTCGGACATTTCACTTTGACTTACCTGAAATATGACATTTGTATTTAATATTAATAATTTATAAACAAATCAAGAAAAACTATTTTATTTTGAACCAACCTTATTTTTCGTCATATCATTGATTATGTTAGATGTACATTCATTCAGATTTACAGTGTGACTTGACTTCTCCTCTTTAACATTAGATCGTGTTGGTGAATCCCATAGCTTGGAAAGTTTTAATGGGTTTTGCGTTAAACCAATTTCCGTATTTAAAGCCATTTCCTAAAAAATAAATAAAATAACTATTATATTGACATTATATTCCTTTCATATAGAAATTTTTAATTTTAATTTATAGATATACCGCGTCATTCCTATTTTGATATTCAACTAATGCTCTGCCATCTTTTGTAGATGAAAGGATTAGAGTTACTACATCACCATACTGAAAATAAACAATCATACATTCAAAATGTCATAAATTTACTATTATCTATTGACACCTATATACTGATAGTGATATTTAACATCATAAACAAATCTATGATTAAATACCTTTGAAAATATTCTAAATAATGTATTATAGTCATATGTATTATTAAGATTGTTCTTGTTAGTTTTCCATTTTATTTTAATTTTGTAAGAACCACTGTCATTATCAGCTGCTGTCCATAGCTTTTTTGATTCTTCTTCAATCTTTTTTTTCATAAATGCTACTTCCTCTTCTACTTGCTTTGATCCTTCTTTTCGAAGACGTTCTATTTCAGCCTAGAATATAAAATGTTACTAAAACTCCCACCAATGGCTGGAAGTAAAAATTATTTAAAAAAATATATTATATTTACTCGTAATTTATCTTCATCATTGTTCCTAGAACTTTTCGGATATAAAGATTGTTTATAAGCATCTTCTCGTGCTTCTAAATCTTCTTTTAATTTTTTACGTTTTGCATCAAACTCTCTGGCCCGTAATTTTGCTTGATGCTTGGCATTAATAACTTTGTCGTAAGCTGCCTTATATTAATGGAATAAAAGATTAGGAAATTTATTTTCTCATACAGAAATAAAGCAGAAATAATAACAACTTTTTTATATACTTACCCGAGCAGATGCATCTGTAAGTATTTCCAATGCCCTTGACAACTCATGAAATAATTCTGCTGCTCTTGGATTGTTTGGATTCTTATCAGGATGGCAAGATAAAGCTTTTTTGCGATATGCTTTCTTGATCTACAATGATGAAGAAATTATTTCATGATGCAAATTATGTTAAATATTTTTGAAATAATATATAAATTTTATTTTTAAAACTTTTAACACTTTTATGTGAAATTTTCATACCTCCTGAGTTGTGGCTGAATTTGTTGTGCCAATAAATTCGTATAAATCTCGATCTATCAAGTGATCCATTTTTTTCTGTGTTTATAAATCTGTCACGTATATACTTCAAATAATAAACACGTTTGAACATTTGGCTTGGTTTCACAAGAGGTTAGGTACTTCTGTATTCATTATTACGTTTAACTTGATTTTATTTCTATATTATATTAATTCTTATTTAGAAGGAAGTGAAACAGAAGAACAGCTACAATTCTTCTATTTAACTGAATTATGAATTTATTGTAAAAGAGTAATATATCTATTAACACATTGACTACTACGATGATAACCGATGATCAACTTTATCAAATTTTATTTAAATCATTACGATGAATTAAATATCATTCATTTTCTTGTAACTAAATAACAGTATAAAGAAGAAAGTCTGGCACAGAATAATTCATAATTTTTAAGAATATTTATCTTTCCTACGAATAAATATGTTTATTGGCGGGAAAGTAAATTACATGTGTAAATATTTATTAGGAGCCTTTGATTACGTATTAACATATTATGCATATATACATAATTATGTACGTATTTGTGCACGTTCAATGTTTAGAAGTGTTACATAAACGTTACAAAGTGGAAATAGAAAAAAAGAATTACCAGTAATCTTGATTCTACAAAAAATTGAATAACATCGGAAAAATGTTTAGTAATGTAATGATTGATAAAGTTTTGCCAAGATTTGTAAGACAAACTCGCTTTAAACATATTTTGCAACAGGTAAATATATAAAATATATGATGTAAAACTTATATATAGCACAATGAAAAAATTTAATGATTCTTTTATTTCACTAATTTTAGACAAAACCGTGGTGTAATAATGTAAACACTAAAATTGAGATCAGTACCATGACTGATATGAAGGAACCTTCCTTCATGGGATTACAAATGAATTTTACAGATAAACTTCAATTTTTTAATAAAGAAAATTACAATGCTTTACCTATATTTAGAATTTTAAATTCATCTAAACAAATTCAATTACCTAAGGAGTATGAGGTTCAATTATTTAACGTTTATGATACATGCAAAATAATTTCAGCAATGTTTTTTTTTATTTTATTAATAATATATTTCTTTTTCATTGAAGGTAAATGAGCAAACATTGACTAAAATGTATAATACGATGCTTACTTTAAGTATAATGGACAAAATTCTGTATGAATCTCAAAGGCAAGGACGTATATCATTTTATATGACTAGTACTGGTGAAGAAGCACTTCAAATTGGTTCTGCTGCTGCTCTTACTTTAGAAGATATTGTATATGCACAATACCGTGAAGCTGGTAGGAATTTTTAATTAACAGTAAAAATAATATGATGATAATAGCAGAATAAAGTTTATTTTAACAATTTTTAAAAATTATATTTTTTTTTAATTTTATAGGTGTTTTATTGTGGCGTGGTTATTCTCTTATGGATGTTATGAATCAGTGTTATGGTAATCACAAAGATCCTGGAAAGGGAAAACAAATGTCTGTTCATTATGGATCAAAAAAATTGAACTTTGTCACTATTTCTTCACCCCTGACAACACAATTGCCTCAAGGTACTGAAATGACCAAATACTAAGTAAACTTTTTTTTAAAGAGTAAATTTTTTAATGTGTGTTTAATGCATACTGATTTTCAGCTGTAGGTACAGCTTATGCTCTTAAACAGTCTAAGACTAAAAGTTGCGTAGCATGTTACTTTGGTGAAGGAGCAGCCAGTGAAGGAGATGCTCATGCAGCCTTTAATTTTGCAGCAACCTTGGAATGTCCAGTTATTTTCATATGGTATATTTTCTTAATTTTATATTTTCGTATTAACATTGTAAATGAAGTGATTGCACAATATACATTTGATCTTTCAAGTCGAAATAATGGTTATGCCATTTCAACTCCTACTCTGGAACAATTTAAAGGTGATGGGATTGCAGCAAGAGGTCCAGCTTATGGGATTCACTCAATTCGCGTAGACGGCAATGATACTCTTGCTATGTACAATGTAATGAAAGCTGCTCGTCAATTTTGTATCGAGGAAGGAAAACCTGTTTTAATCGAAGCTATGACCTATCGGTACAAGAATATTTTATTTTGTTGTATTTTCGTAATATTCTATTATACATATACATTTTTCTATGCGAATTTTAGAGTAGGTCATCACAGTACATCTGATGATAGTACCAGATATCGTTCGGATGACGAAGTAGCTCAGTGGAATTGCAGTTTACCGATAGGAAAATTCCGCAACTATTTAGAATCCATAAACCTTTGGTGTGAAAAACAAGAACAAGAGTCACACGACTCCATAAAGAAGTCTATTTTGCATGCATTTACATGTGCAGAAAAGGAACTGAAACCTTGTTGGAAAGAATTATTCACAGATGTATACCACACAATGCCAAAACACATTAAGTATGCATCTTATTTTTGCTTAAACTCTACATTTTTACATATACTGCAGAACATCTACAATTTGTATACATTACTAATATATTCCTTTTACATTTAGAAAACAATTAAGTTCCATGGAAGACCATGTTAATGAGTTTCATGAATATTATCCATTAGAGTCTTTTAAATCAACCTAACAAGGTAAAATAATGGTAACGATTGAATTATATACATTCCTCATTTGGTACTAAAAATTTTATATTTCTTCTATTAATAGATAATAAAATTGTTGCACAATATTTATGTGTTCACATTATTTGCAATTTCTTCAAACTTTTGGGCTTCTTGTTCTAGTCTAGCTGCATCAAGTAATATATTGTGAAGCAAAACAGATTTATATGGATTATGTTGCTCTACGCTAGGATATATATTGCCTAGAAACAGTTATTTCCGTTAATACTTCTATAAATCTATATAAATGCATGGACTTCTTTGAAAACATACCTTTCAACTCTAAAACAGCTCGCTTGTATTGTTCTCCAGGGTATATAGTCGGTGCTTTATGAAGTTTTGTATAAGCAGTTGTATAGTTTTGATATCTTGGTACGAGTACCTTGAAAAGTTTATGGACTAGCTGTTTTTCTAATATCCAAAAGTCAGCAAGTTCCATTGTTTCTTTATGTTCAGGTCCATGACGTAATGCTTCCGATATTAACTATAAAAGATGAATATTGTGAAACACGTTTAAATAAAAAATATCAAACAATTTCTGAGATACGAACTCGCTCAGTGTAACCTCTCGTCTCGTCCGCTCTCGGATAGTTCAACTCGAGTCTCTCGTATTTAATTAAAGCGGTTAACGTTTTCTGAAGTTTGGCTATTCTTCCTGCAGGACCCTGTAGATTTCGAAATTTGCGTCTTGGTTTAACATTGTATCTTAACCTAGAGACCAAGTTCTCAACATTTGCTTGATTCATTCTCGTTAATTTTTGGTGTACACGTTTTTCATTATTTGCGAAATTCAACCAGCCTTGCTGTATAAACTGTTAATTGTATATATTCATAATAGCTCACTATTACAAAATTTCATGAAAGGTTAGAAAGTTTTTTCACCCGTGCTACCGATACAGACGAGGTATAGGATAGATAGTGCAAGCTTATGGGACTCGGTGTCACGTGATCTGAATTACCGATTGTGTGAAAAATCTGAATTTTTGCTCTGCCCTTTACGCCTACAGAACGGTCAATAAGAAAACTACAAGCAAAATGATCGAAGTTGATGTCATTTAAAACTATAATATTTCTGATTCTCATTTCTATCATTTCTAGCGCTGCCATGTAAAGATAGCCTTAGTCGATATGACAAATGACATAAAAATGGTAAGTGTATTCCTTGAGAGCATGTGACAAAATTTTACATTGCATGTAATGTGTATCCTTTATATCCGTCTGTGATACCGAATACACTGTTTCTTTCATAACGTCGCTCTTGAATACCTCTTTAACGTCTCGTTTCTATTTTTACCATCTCACGATCTATTCAACAGGTATTCATTATTCATAAGTATCTCGTTGAAATTTTCGAATGTTGTGAAATCAAAAAAGTGGTTTTTAAAAGATTTTTAATTAATAGTAGATAATTATAGATATAGAATTTTATTAAATTTTATCATTTGAATGATACGTTTATAAATTTTACAAATTTTAACATGTTCAGAGTAAAATACGTTTAACCAGAAGACGGTGTTCTTGGTAAGTTTGATATGTTTATTTTTCGGCCTAAAGCCATGTGGTGATCACTATATATTTTTTCAGAAATAGTGAATTTCTGACGTAGTAAGCTTATGTGTATACTACTTCGTATTTCAGTACTGTTTATTTGTCATTCTTAATATATATATATATATATATTATAACAAACCATCATCACAATAATATTCAGGTTTGAATATTTTGTACAGTGTGGTAAGGTCAGCACAGTAAAAATTATTCACGTTTATATTTAATATAAAGATCAAATGTGGAAAACTGTTTTGATAAAAAAATTTTTAATTACTACATACAAATACAAAAATTGTTGAGTACTTTTGATAACTGAATATTACTAAGATTACCACTTCTACATATACCACTGACATATAAATTATGTATTATACAACTAGCTTACCCACTTATTCATTAAATTGCAACATTTTTGTATCCAATTCCTTCTCTCACATGTTGCATTTCCCATATTTTTGTATTGTTTAAGACACGGTTATTGCACTTACGGGAAATACTAGTGTCATAAATTTCTCTGGCCAATTAGTACGTATACTTAAGTAGTAATAACAAAAGTGGAGTATTATGTATTTGTAAATTATAAACTTGCGATTAATGTGTCAAAAAATATATGTAAAAAAAATTACAAAAACTTGAAAAATGTTCTTTTTCTAACTATTTTCTTTCCTGTTAAGCTTTAAAGATTCTTATCACCCGTACCACATACTGTTTACATATAGGACATTCAGACATTTGCTTGCCACAGTTGAGGCAACAAACCATATGACCACATTCTAAAATCACGCACTCAATTGGTTCATCCCAGCAAATTTTGCAAAGATTTTCATCAACTGTTTCCGTATCTGTTAATAGGATGTGAAATTAAGTTTTCATGTAACAAACAGGATCAAAGGAATGTGTTTTATATAAAGTAATCTTACTTGTTTTCGACTGTTTGTACTCTTGCCATAATCTCCAGGCTTTATCTAATAATTCATACCTCTCTGTACAACCTTTGTAGTCCACCCGATTCGTACTTAACAAAGTTTTCAATTGCTTCACACTTAAACATCCCAATTCTGATAATGTGTTTATATCAGATAGATTGATTCCATCTGACCACTATACAAAAAGAAGAAGCAAAAACAATTTTATGGAAAACATAGTAATACAATAAATTAAACGAACTAACACAATAGACTTAATTATACATACTGTGGAAACTTTGTTACTTGTATCAGAACATTGAGAATCTGTAATCACTGGTGTTTCACTTTCTGTCAAAATGACAGGTGTCCTACTTTCATCTGTACCAACAGCTGTTCCTGAAATTTCTGCCCCTGCATCACAATCGACATTTGTATTATCTGTTTTATGTTTCTGTTCACAAGATCCATTGGTACGTTCATTGTCTGGGTCTGTCACTTGATTCAAAGCAGGACTATTGCTAAAATTACATCAGAATAGAATGACAACTATACTACACAATAAAATGACAATAATATCGATAAACCTCTACATATATTCAATATCATCATATTCAAAAACATCACGTACACGTTATGCTTCCATGTTGGACATT